ACATAAGTTGCAAAATTCATCAACAGGTGGTGCTACTGTCAAGAAAACTAAAAAAACAAGATATGTTTTTTTTGTGAACATTGTTTTTATAGTTTAATTTGTGGGCAGTGCCAGATATTGCTCAGCTTTATTATGGTAAGTGAACAATTTAGTTCTATAAGTAGAACGTAGTAAATAGTACGTTTCTTTTCGTTTTACTTTAAATGATGTTTCAACTAGTCGGCCAGATTTGGGACACTCGATGTAAGATTATTGAAAGCACTCAAATTGTATTAAGTATTGCGAACAGTTAACGTTTTACGTTTTTCCCCAGATCCAATTCATGTTTTTTTTTCATTATTTATTTATTAAATCAGTTGACGTTAAATACTTCCTTTTTCACAAGCCATTCTTCAGCTCTGAAAGTATTTGTGTACTACATGAGGTACAATTCTTTTCAAATTTTAAATGGTTTCTTAATTTTTAATTAATGTGCATAACATTTATATAAGTAAATGGAACATTATATCCATTTTTTTCAAAAAAAATAGTTGTTTATATTATTCGAAAAGAGTGATTTAAGCCTTTGAGTGGCAGACAATAAATTTGAATTAAAAAATGTAGACAAGAAAAGCCACTAGAATTCTGGTTATAACATGCTTATCTTCAACAAAGCGGTTCGTAATACCTTTAAATTTCACAAAATAAAAAGTGGNCAGGAAACGAAATTTATTTTCAAGAACATAAGTTGCAAAATTCATCAACAGGTGTCACGTTATGTCAAGAAAACTAAAAAAACAAGGTGAACATTGTTTTTATAGTTTAATTTGTGGGCAGTGCCAGATATTGCTGAGCTTTATTATGGTAAGTGAACAATTTAGTTCTTTAAGTAGAACGTAGTAAATAGTACGTTTCTTTTCGTTTTACTTTAAGTGATATTTCAACTAGTCGGTCAGTTTTGGGACACTCGATGTAAGGTTATTGAAAGTACTCAAATTGTATTAAGTATTGCGAACAGTTAACGCTTTACGTTTTTCCCCAGATCAAATTCATGTTTTTTTTTTTATTTTTTATTTATTTATTAAATCAGTTGACGTTAAATATTTCATTTTTCACAAGCCATTCTTTTCAAATTTTAAATGGTTTCTTAATTTTTAATTAATGTGCATAACATTTATATAAGTAAATGGAACATTATATCCATTTTTTTCAAAAAAAATAGTTGTTTATATTATTCGAAAAGAGTGATTTAAGCCTTTGAGTGGCAGACAATAAATTTGAATTAAAAAATGTAGACAAGAAAAGCCACTAGAATTCTGGTTATAACATGCTTATCTTCAACAAAGCGGTTCGTAATACCTTTAAATTTCACAAAATAAAAAGTGGTTCATTAAAAACCGCTTTGTTTAAGTGATAAAAATTGTTGTGGTTCATATTATTGTCGAAAATAAATGGAACAGTTTTTAACCTTCCACCTCTGAAATGGTAAAAAGTAAATGATTTAAAGATATACAGGGGTTGGTCAAAAATATAAAAACACTTCTGTGCTAATTATGGATAGAAATTCTTGTTTAGCAGCAAATGTTTTGGAAAATTTTACATGGCAAAACTGTTGGCACAATTTTAAAGATTATGCTTGAAACTTTTCATGATGGTGTTCCTTTGGCTAATGTAAAATTTGCATCGCTTAAAATAAGCGTAGGCATCTTTAAATAAATATTATAATCCTGTAAAGCATCTTTAAATAAATATTATAATCCTGTAGAATGATTTCATTATTGCTAGTATCAGTACTAGACGCAAGGTATAAATTTCATCTCCACATTTTGGTCACCATTTCTGAAGCTTCGAGCATGATCTTTCATAATGTGCAAACAGTTTTGCCATGTTTTATTAAATATTCCAAAACTTTTGCTGCTAAAAAGAAGATTGTTTACGCAGAGTTAGTATTGTAGATGTACCAGTTACCCGGGCCCGGTTATTTTGTCTCAAGCAGGCTCGTTCAATTTTACCGGGAAACACTCATTAATTTTCGATGCATTCGTTCGTTCGTTGTAGTGGAACTGGGAGCCTGAGGCCTTACGACCCTTTTCCCATTTACCCTGAAATTAAACTAAGAAACATACATGACAAAAATAAACTTTGGGGCACAAAATGAAGATCGAAAGTTCGATACAACCATATTATGTTTTCAATAAACTTAAAACTATTCATGAAATAAAGGTTTGCATTTCATTTTTATTATTTGGGTGTGTATAAAGAAATTATGATGGTAAAAATTTTTTCTTACAAATGACACCTTATTTATTCTTATGTAATTACAAGTTTAAACATTATTAAAGATTACTTTCTTAGCAAATAAGACCAAACGTTAAAATAGACGAAATTGATTTAATAAAAATTGATAAATAAATTTTTTGAAGGTAGTTTTAATTTTAAAAACAGGAAACTTTTCATTTTTAGATAACTCAAGTGGTAAAAACTTTTTAGAAATTTTTTTATTACATTTTTAATATCTGTTCTACGTTTTATTGAAAAGGATCATGTAGGGATAATTAATAACTATTAACTAAATTTTTACCAGAAAACGTTTCTTACTCGTTTGTTTAACAATAACAGCTTCTAGCTAGTCTGGGTAAATTTCTTTTAGCGCCGGGCTTACCACTGATGAGTTTCGTGTTTTTTTCCCCAGTGTTTTACAAATACGCGTTAGTTTTACAGAATTTTTTTCTTCATAAAATTAAATTTGCCCAGATTTCTAAATCATGATTTGAGGACAAATTAGTAGAACACCCTCAAAAAATTTTGTGATTTGTTATATATATATATATATATTTTAATGTTTTTAATGTNGTTGTATTTGAAAAAACATCAGCTGACAACCATGATAGTAACGCATATTACTATATATGCTTAATTTCTTTAAGAATAGTGGTGATTAAAATCATTTAAAAATTAAGTTTAAAGAAGAAAATATAGTATATATTTACTACCACTTTAAATATCAAAATAAAATTTTACGCCAAATGCGTAAAAGTTGGCAGGTATGACTTCCCATTCCAACTCATAACCAAACACGGTAAATTTTTTTAAAAGAAATTTGATACCTAATATCAGATGATTTGAGTACTAAGTAGTTTTGGCATATCATATGTTAATCTGCAAGTTGGAAAGAATATGTTAGGATAAATTACGTTTATAGTTATTGGATTATTAAAAATTAAAACCTGGAAGCAATTATTTTTTAATAAATAGTTATTTTTTAAAAATATTTTTAAAACTTCTAAATAAATTCTACTGAAAAGTTAATTAAATCATTTGTCAAATTAATAATAAAGTCAATTAGCAGATGTCTTCCCTTTCGCAACAATGCTTTAAGTTAATCATTCAACATATACAGTCACCCAAAATTTCTTCTAGAAACTTTTTTTTAAAATTTGATTTTAGAAAAAGGATAAAAATGGAAGTATGCTTTTCTTTCTTTTTTTATAGGCGTGCAGTAAATTTTCCTAGAAATCTTATAAAATTTTTGTTCCATAGAAATCTCAATTTTTAGATTGCTTTGCATAAATACTATAATAACTGGTCGGGTTCCCGGAGCTGGCCGGTAAAAGATTTAATTTTCATTAGGTACCGGTCATCCGGACCCGGCATTTCTATAGTTAGTATATAAGTGTATCCATATTTTTGCACAACTCCTATTGAGGGATGAATTTTAAAAAAAGAAATTATGTTCCTAGATGATTGTTTTTAAATGTTTTAAATTGATATTTTCTGTTCAAAAGTATTTCTTAAACTTTTAATCAAAGATAAATTCTTAAATTGAAAAATATTTACCTGGTACCATTTGTTTCACCTTTCCATTTTTTTAAGAAAGAAAATAATATGAATAATATGAAATATAACCTTCTTGCCGAGGCTTCAAGATTTTCTAAAATGGGATTAAAGTGTTTTATTTTTATTTACTTTCAAAATGATAACTTACAAAAATGTTAAACTAAGAACTTATAGTAACAGTAAAAACATTAATTTTCATAGACGTATATTTTCAATTTTCAACCCAATTTTAAATTTATATTATTTAAATGCGGATTAGAATAAGGTTTGCGTATAATTTGTTCAATATTAAGATATGATTTGTTCAGTATATTCGATATGATTTGTTAAGGGGGTGACCTATATGTAATGTTTCATTTGCAGTTTTTTTTGTTGTTGTTATTTTACTCTTGGAACTTTACTTATTTGAACTTGGAAACTAAAATTCGTATTATATTTATGTTTTTAAACATTATTGCTATCTTAAAAATAATTTTAAGTGATAGGAAAATTGGAAAAAATATTGATGTATTGAATGATTAAGAAATATATATTGTGCGTGAAAATCCGGAAAATTGATTTTATCACTAAGAGAGAAACAATAAAAATGCTACAATAAAATACTCCGAATGATAACGCGAGCAGGGCTTATCCGCAATAAGAATATGCATTGCCATTTCACTGATTTCTGAGATTAACATATTGCAAAGCTTAATTTCAAATTTTTCGTAAAAAGCCATAAATTGTGATGTCGCTGGATTTAACGAAATTTTTACTTTTGAAAACTCGAAAGAAGACATAAAGCTCAGACATGCTTATTTTTGTTACATTTTTTTGCTACGCATCTTTTCTAGAATGCAAAATATTAAAATTTTCTTTTCACTCCATATTGTTTTCCAGTTACCAGAAAGTACCACCTTTAATTAAAAACTTCAAGGATATTATTATCCTTAGCGACAATCTTTTATCAACCCTAAAACTTTGAAATAAAAAGAAATTTTGCTTAATACACCCTAGTCAGTAATGCTTTTAATGATGAACATTAAAAAAATGTTAATATCAGCATCTATCTCAACTGTCACTTTAATATCCAACCGGTTCTCAGAAATCACCTGCTAAATTATAACACGACGGTGACAACTTTTCCCCCTACCGACTTACTACCTGAGATAAATCTCCAAATCAGGTAACCCGAATCTCAGCACCCAAAAACTTTCCCTTTCTCCAAAAAACTTGGCGTCAAAAAAAGAAAGGATTCCAACTAGACCTTCACAAGGTCTAGCGACGGGCGCAAGGTTTGGAACATGTTAACCCCGCCCCTTTCTGCATGCCGGAATGAAAGTGTTAAGTATCACGTGACTTGAAAGCATCAATGGACACCATCGGTTGACCTCCAGTACCCCCCCCCTCTCTCTCCACCATCCGAACGAAAGCAAAAGTTCTTTTTTTGGTTTTGTTTCTTAGATTTTATTCATCTGTTCATCCACAGTTGTATGTTGTCCATTCTCAACCCTTAGACCCACCGGGAACAGATCTATAAAAACTTTATCTCCAGGACAGGTAGTGAGTTGGGTCTAAAAAAAGGTGACAGTTTTGATTTTATGTGACCAAAGAGAGATGGGGTCAATTAATATGCTGGACATTATTGCGGTCGTCTTAATTAGTCTGCTAGGAATAGCTCAAAAAATAAGTAAGTTGAATTTTGTTAAAAATTTATTTATTTAAAAATTTTTGTTTTTAAGATTTTCCTTATAATTTTGTTGGAGTACATTTCGTAGGTTAAAAACTTATTTTCTTTAAATAACAAAATTTCGAATTTTATTTTTTCCCCTCGAGATTTTCATAAGCTTAAACTGCACCATTTTCTGATATCAATTAAAATCATAGTTTATTTTAGTTTGTAAAATAGAATTTATAAACATCTTTTATATACATTTAAAAAATGACATTCTAAAATATTATACATTTAATAATATTAAAATTTAATTCTAAACATTTTTAAGAGGATAATAATAAGAATTGTGTTTTTATATATTTTGTAGTGGGTTGAAATTTTATTTAAATTTCTGAATTTTTTTATTTTGTCTAAATATTGTAATAAAACTTATAATCGATTTACAAAATCATTTTTGATCAGAGTTCAATTTAAATTCAAAAATAAAGTTTACATCCATTATGTTTTATCATATATATCCAAATGACATATACTTGTATTTTTAAATTAAAAATTAATTTTTTTAAAAACATATTACATCGTAATATATAATAAATCATATTACATTGTAATATATTTCGCGGTGGATAAGAGCCATATTATTTTCAAAATTAATTTAAATCAGAGTTAAATTTTAACATCTAAAATAAAATTCATGCCTATATATTTCATCATACGTTTACACGAAAGCTATCAATTTTTAATCTTTCCTAAGATGAGTTGTAGTGACAAAAAAAATTTTTTTTTAAAAATTTTGTTAGATCTTAAGCACATTATGATGCATTTATACGTACAATTATGATGCATTTATGTTAATATGTGCTGTTGATTTTTGTATTCTGGTATACAAAATCATTTTAAATTGAATCTTCGAATCAAAAGGAAAAGTTTGCCCCATTTAGATAATTTTAAATATAAAAGTAAAATTCTAATATGCAAGCAGCTATGTAAAATGTTTTTAAAGTTAAGAACAACAATATACGAATAATATTTTTGACTTTATTGGTTTTATAATACTTAGAATTTTGTAGTAATACACATTTCTGCGGTCATACGAAAGTTTGTTTTATAATTTTGGTGAAAGTTGATTCGCATAGTTTTCGAAAGCAGTTTAAGTCTAATTTAATCCGTATTTATGTATGTAAGTATAACAAAGAACATAATTAATGAATATTATTTACTTTTAAATTAATAATAATTAATTTTCTCATAAAAAAGCTCTTTTTTTTCTAAACTCGTTTTTTATGTTTGAATTAAAAAAATATTTCATATATTTTCGTAAAAATAGGCAAAATTACCAGTTTTGGTGTTTAATATTTCTTCAGTTATTTTTTAACAAAAACGTTCGAATTTTTACCTTATAAATAGTTTTCCATTCAATGCTATTCTTATTTTAAAAAAATTCTATATTCAGGAATACTTTTTGTAGAAGATCATAGTAGTAGATAAAAATTAATGCCTACAGCTGGCTTAATTAAGTATTATAAAAGGCTCATCATGTGATACTTTGATGTAAATATCATTTTGTATGAGTACTTTAATTATTTACGTCTAATGTTGAGTAACATAACTTAAAACCACTTTTATTAAAGAAAGAATCATATATTAAATCGCGAGAAAAAATTTACCCTCAAAACGGTGCAAGTTTATATTTCTGTTTAGTATATCGAGCTGTTCTGTTTAGTATATCTATCTGTTTAGTATATCTTATTTTTATTTAAATATAAATAAACACTTCGAAATACGTATTTCAATAACACTATGCATTTAGAATGAAATGTTTTTTTTTCCTCTTCATATTTATCATAAATAAATTATAATCAAATTACGAAAAAAAAGTTTACGCAAAAAGTGATTGGATGAGATTTTTTTTAAAAACTTATATGAAGCTCTTATACTGTGAATTCTAGAATGCACGCTTATTATAGCATTAACGTAAAAATTTCATGACGAATGCATATTCAATTTATAACAAATTAGCTTAAAGTTTGTACACTTATTTGTTTAGTTCGATGAATTTCAAATTACCAAATAATAATTATTCACATAAAAAGTGTAAAATTATCTTATATGCATTTAAAATAATTTGTGATTAATTCATAAATTAAATACAGTATTGGAATCCAAAAACTTCATACTTAGCAAAATATAATTTATTCTTACGTAACTAAGATTTTTTTGTTGTCTGAAAATAAATTACTTGGCCTATTTGTAGACGTACTAAAAGATTTTTCATTTTTTTTAGAATATTTCACCCATATGTGCTTAGTGTCCCTTTAAAAAGATGTTTTTTTTGTATGAGCTCTTTAATTTATATGTTCCTTTTTTTCAAAATGGAAAATTTTTGTAGCACAATTCTTTCATAGCAGATATTGTCTATAGCAATATATTAGTAATATAAGTAATAAAATCAGGGATGCCAACAGCTCCGCTATCTGAATTTTTTTAATAGCGAATTAAATTAAAAAAAGTTGTAAAAATAAGGATAATTACCTAAATTAATCATCATGTGTTTGGGTTCCGTTTGTAGTCTTTGTGATTAACAGGCACTGGGATGCTTTAAATTCACCTCAAGCACTTAGCTTGAGTATCTAAAGATAAATGATAATGAAGCACCTTGCTCTAAACTTCAAAATTTTTGTTGTTGTTGTAGATAAGTAAAAATGTGTCAGCATGAGGAAACGCCTTGAATCGCTTATTATTAATTGAAACGCTTATTTTTCAAATAAGATTCAAAGTTGGGAACCGTTATTTGTTTTGATAGTTGTATTTCATATGACACTTTGAATTTTTGATACGTAGTGGTGAAAAATTTACTTAAAATATACTGAATTAAAAATAATTAAAATTTCGTTAGTTAGCATCTCTGTAAAATATAGTCAATATCTTAATAATATGTTTAGATATGAAGACGTACTATAGAGATATTTTTTTATAGCTAAAATGGAATTTTGAAAAAAGTAATAGCCGTTTGATGTTAACTAATATGCATTACTTTTTTTCTTCCTTTATGTATTTTTCATGTATAGGCCATTTTTGTTACTGAGTTTTAATTAGTTAAAATTACTGTTTATGTAAAGTGCACGAAAAAAGGAACGAAAGATAAATCATAAAAATCTGACTTTTTTAAATATTGATTTCCCAATAACTATTGGACCTATTTAATTTTAAATTCTATCATATAAAATCGCATTCTTTACTGTGTTGCAAAAGTTTGTATTCCTTACAATTCTAAATTTTTCGACAATTATATAAAATAAAAAATAATTACTAAAAATTATTTTTTGAGTGTAATTATCTTTGGATAAACGAATTTTATAATTGTTAGCAAAAGTTTTTCAATTAGCTTAAAAATTTCTAGTGATATGGCAAAATGCGCAAAAGATGAAATTAACTAACATCAAGGGGCCAGAACCTAGAAGGCCCTTGTCACCCCTGCATATCTGCCAACTTTTACGCATTTGGCGTAAAATTTTATTTTTATATCTAAAGTGGTAGTAAAATGTATGCTTTCTATAGATTCCTTGCATTTATAAATTTAATTAATAATCTTTATGAACACCAATATTTTTTAACAAATTAAGCATATATATTAATATGCAATACAATCTAACTTTACAGCTTAAGCCTTTTCAGAATTCAGCGTATGTTTCTTCCTAAAATTGTAATTAAAATTTCATTTTACTACCAGTTGGGAAAATCATCCTCGAAAGGATTAAAAATTGGCAGGTATGCCCCTGGCATTTTGGATAGATTAAAATTTCCATGACTACCAAAATATTTCTACTCAATTGTAATACATGTATTTAAAATTGTCATATGCTAAGAGAATCAAAATGTGTATATGATAGTTTATAGTTGAAGATTAATAACAGTTTATTTTTCTTTTCATGAAACCGCTAAAAATGGAAAATTTCGACAATCAATGTTTCTTCTTTTCCGTTTTAAAAAGAAATAATAGATGAAATATGACAGGGGGTGCTTAGTTACATGATATAAAAATTTTAAAAAAAAGCTCATTTCCGTGATGATTAAAATCGTTATAAACCATAAGTAATCGGAAGCAATTCCGATAAATACTATTAATCAGAATTACTCCCGATTACTTATAACGATTTCGACCAACACAAACTGTAAACATATGCATTGGAGATTTTAAATGCTCTCACTAGCATCTTTTATAAAGAAACAGTTATACAAAGTACTTTTTCATAAAAAGAAAATAATGGTAGCTTTTGTTATGGAATTTTTTATTTTTTAATTTCCTTGTTAGCAGGGTGCCACAGGTAACAAAACAAGTAACAAACAGCTTCGAAAAACGTCATTAACTCTGGTGTGGTGTGTTTTAGTTGGAAAAATTTTGAAGGATAATTTTGATTAAAAGCAGACATGCCAACTTGCTCCGGACAGCAAATATATATTTTTAAGTGGTAGTTTATCAATTGTGATTCTTGGTTTAATAAATTCAATTTACTAGATTTTTATCCACCACTATTTCTAAATAATTCGTAGGCTAATAAAATTAACCACTTTTTAGTACTTATGTCGCTTATACAACTGAAATTCCCAACTGGTATCATTAAAATAATACAGGCCTACTTACATAATAGAACCTTTCAAGTTAATTTTAAAAATATGAAATCAACAAACAGGAAAATAACAGCAGGAGTACCTCAAGGAAGCATCCTTGGGCCCATACTATTCATATTATTTACCTACGACTTTCCCATCGACCGACAAGACTTTAACAGCATCACAGCACTTTTCGCAGATGATACAGGAATTGTCGTGAAGTCCAAAAATCCCAACATTGCCTTACAAAAACTCCAAGAAAAGATCACAGAAATAGAAACCTGGTGCCTAGACTGGAAGTTTAAAGTAAACGGCCAAAAATCGAAACTACTAATCATTCAACATAAAAGAAAAACGATCCTCCCTAAAAATCAAGTTGTACTCTTTAACGAAACGATACCCAT